TGCAGTGGAGTAAAAATCTTGTTCACTGCGTCTGGGCTCAAACTAAAGTGTGGTAACCTCTAAATCTACCATGAACAACACGCCAGACATGAAGTTTAGGTTTAGCTCGGCCTGAGGTCAGGGTTCACGCGGTGACCGCGTTCGTCCAAGCATGTTGGCATGCAGCCGGCGCGCTCTGCGCCGTGCCGAGCCTCTGTCGATCACGTGATCGCTTCCCTGCTTGCCAAACCTTGCCAAAAACCCGCCACCATCACCGTCCCGACGCCCTTAACTCCACCGTCGCGCTCGCCGACACTGGAGCTCACTGCAATGAGCACGGGCGTGGTCCGGCCATCCCAACAGTGCGCTGCGCACTGTGTTCATCGCCATCTCCTCGCTCTTGTGCTCGTCTCCGCTCGCCCATAGTTCCCGTGTGAGCTGCGTCGCCTCCCCCCCCCTCTTTCTGACGCCGCTCATTGCCGGGCGCAACGTCCAAGTGTCCTCCGGTGGAGTCCAATCCCCTCACTCCACTCGGTTATAAGTAGAGCCCCCCCAGCCTCCTCGAGCATCATCCGCTCCTCGCACACACTCCACAAACATGTAGAAAGCCGTGGCCCGGTCGGGCATGCCTCGGGCCGCCGTCCCCGAGCTCGAGCTTGCCGGCAATCCCCTCTATCTGTCTGCACCACTCCAGCCCCCTCAAGCTCAGGCAACCCTTCCAGGGCCTCCGCTGGGCGTCAGTGGTGTCGTTCGACACGATTGGATCCCCTGGTGCTTCCCCTAGTCGTCGTCGTCTTCAACTCGGGCGACCTCTGCTTCCTGTCGCTGCTGGAGAGGCCATTTCCGACACCGTCCGACCACCCCTAGCTAACCTACGGGAACAGGCAGGTGCGCCTCTGTCCCCTCTCCCGATCTATCCCTCTAGCTCCAGACAAGGAGCCCTCCTCGCTGGCGTGTGCTCCGGTGGAGCCCCGTCGTGCTTTGTTTCCCTCTCCCCTTCCTTCTCGCCTGACCAGCAGGGCCCGCTTGTCAGCCACTCTGTACGCGCCTGAAGCGGTACGAGTGGTGGCGCCCCGCAGGTTTACGCCTTTGGCGTCACCCCCCCAGTCTGCTTAATATTAATTCAAATTCAAATTTATTCCAGAACACTTCAAACAGCCACAACTTTTTAACCATAAGTCCAAATGAATTGATTCTTTTTGCATTGTGTTCTGTATGAAAATATTTAGCAGCTCACCAGAGATGAGATTTTTTCCCTGCTGCCTAGATTTTCTGGTGAATTTCAGAGTGTTTCTTTTTGTGTTTATAATTGTTTTCAGAGAGTGAAGCTTGTCTTGAGTATCACCAGGAGGAGTGTGACCCTCATATGCACTAAGGCAAGCCACAACAACATTTTCATGGTGCCATTGCAATATTTGTGATTTATGTTCAAACTTGAATGATTAAATTTAGTTCATGCATTTTTAATCACCAAGTAAATAGTATTTTCATTCTGTTGTAAGCTAGATTATGTGAATATGTTGGATTACAGTAAGTTAGAAAGTTAAATAAGTTAGTGTTAGTCTTTTTGAGTCATGTTAGATTATGGAGAAATAATCTGCTTTTGAAAAATAAATAGTTGGGATAATATTTTCTTGGTTAAGAAAATAATGATGCTAAATATTGCTTTGACTAGTTGTTGCTGAAACATGACTAGAATAGTGCCATGAGTTTCTGAAGTGCTTGGTTAGTGCTCGATATAAGTTGACCCGGTATGGTTCAAATGATTAGTGAGCATGTTATATGAGTGCATTTGCATGGTATATCATCACTTTTATTTTTAAGTTGAACCTGATAATAAATCAACTTTAACATATCGTTGATCGGGTCATGGTGCCACCGAATCAAGTTTTTCCCAGTGCAACCACATTTGCCTTTATGGGAAGGCCTTTATTTGGTCCGTTGTCATGCCTCTGGTCGGTACCTCCAACGAGGGAAGGTTATGGGCGTGCGGTACCCTGGCCCGGTAAGCAGCCATAACCTTGTGTGCCCGTTGATGTTGTTTTGGTACCTTGTCCCCGTTTGGGACCGTTTTGCCACGACGGTGGCTGTTGGTGTCTGGGTTAGACACGGGGCCACCCATGACTTAGCCCAATGGGGAGTTAGTCGGAGTGGCCGGGACAGTGTCGTGGCAATGGAGGGGTTTTGTTGGAATGCCGTTGGTCCACCCGAATGGGAGTGCGAGGCCATGAGTTCCTTGGTGTGGGTACAGTGCGCTACCTCTGCAGAGTGTATGAAATCTATCGATAGTCGAGTCCACGGTTACGGACACGCTCTAAGTAGGTCACACCATGGGTCAACGTTTAAGTAATCTTGCACACTAAATTAATAGCATGGCACTGTTGGAAAAAGGATGTTTCGAAGACCATGTTGATATTGACGTCCAAGTTGTTGGTCCGTTTGTGATCCGCGGGATCACCTTTTGGTTACGAGGTAACCCATTTTGTTGACCAAGTTGATTGGTTCGTTTGTGATCCGGGAGATCACCGTTGGGCTACGTGGTAATCCGTTGGTAAGCAAGTCCGTGGGACTTGAGGCATGAAATTTTATTCACTGCATCCTTAGTATGACTTTTGCATTAATGATTATTTGGTTGAGATCATGATATTGTTTGTCATTATGTTTATGCTTGTTGTGAGCTTGCAAGTACATTCAATGTACTGACCTAGCGTGTCATGCCAGATTTCAGGAAAGGTTCGTTGGAATGGAGTGTTGATCGAGTCTAGATCGTGTTCACATCGGTGTCCCTGTGATATGGAGTCCCGCATCGTCGTCGTTCCGCTGCCGCGTAGTTGTCATGCTCGAGGCCCCCTTTATGTTCATTAAATAATGTACATATTGTTCAGCCGCACCATGTGTGACGCTTGGCCTCCTAACTTACTGTAAGATGTACTATGTTCTGCTCGCATCAATAAAGTGGTTGTTTTCTGTACCAATATGTTGTGTGTTGCCAGAAGACATGGTCTCTGGGCTGACAATGCAAGGTAAACCGGTTGCTCTGAACCAGGGTGCCACAGAGGCCTCCCGCTCCGGTGACCGCGGCGGCGTGGGGCACCAGTTCACGCCCCCCACGGCCTCGGCCATCTCCGAAGCCGTGCACGACCAGCTCCACTACTGGCCCACCAGGCCCGATGCAATGCGGCCGCCGGCTCCTCCTCCATCACCTCCTCCGCCTTCACCATCTCCAGCTCGGGGATGGCGACGTCGCCGGCCGTAGAGAGGGCCATCATCTCCTCGAGGCCCTCCCATTGGCGCTCATCGTGCATGCGGATGGAGTCCTCCATGACATGCTGCATGAGCCGGGCCTCCTCCTCCGATGTCATGCGAGGTGGTGGTGGTGGAGACGGAGACGGAGACGGTGAGGGTGTGGGCGTCAGGCCGCGCACCCATGTACGCCCACGCACCTAGGGAGCACGCGTTGCACGCTCTGGACGTGGCCGCCGCAGCCCCGACGACGTGCCGGCGAAGAATGACGCGCGCCGCACGTCGTGCTCGTCCTGGAGCCACGTGTCCTAGAGCCGGGAGTCGGGGGCGTACCTGTCGCCGTAGTATAGGTCGTCCGACAGGAGGCGGCGGCGGCGCTCGATCTCCTCGCGGCGCGCACGGCCGCTCATCGGGACCGGCGGGATCGGGACCCGGTCGGCGGAGAGGTGCCAGCTATTGGGGAGGTGCACGTCGCTCCGCGGGATCAGCGTCCTCGGTTCCCAATAACGTCGGCATACATCCGCGGTGATGTACTGCCGGTCGCGGTCACCGTGGGCCGTAGGGCCGATGGTGAATGGGGCAGGCGGCGGGGCCCGACGCGGTGGTGGTGATGCGGGCTCCTCCTTCACGGAGCCGCGACGGCGGCCCGACGACGAGGACTCCTCGCGATCGTGCTTCCCCTTGCGGCCGTGGTTCCAAAAGCCCATGGCTGCGAGGTGGCCGGCCGGTGAGATCGGGGACGGGGAGAGGCTAGGGTTTGGTTGTTGGTTTTGAGGAGGCGGGAAGGACTCGACTGGGGAGTGTGGACGACGGCCGGTCCACGGCTTCTCCATTTAAGAAGGAAAGCGATCGTTCGCTGGGCGGGTGACAGGTGGGGTCGACCACCCGTGCGCATTTATGTCAGGCCGAGGGAGGTAGGTGGCCGCCTGCCACGCGGCCCCGACGAGGACGAGCGAGGCTTCCGTTTGCCGTCTGCCGCGATCCAAACTGCGCGCATGTTTGCGCTCGAAATGGGTTAGCCCGGACACAAAAGGACCAGATAGGTCCAGGCCGTCGCGTGCTGGGCTGAACGGGATGGGGTCGTGCTCTGGAGTTGCCCTTACAGAATCTGTCCCCGCAAAGACAACTCTGCTCTTTCCCTCGCAAAAGAAAAAGAAAGAAAGACAACTCTACACTTTTAGCCGGAACACTATTGCTGGCGGCTGCACTTTGGCAGCTGGTGCCAAATTTCAGACATCAAGAACCCCTATCCTCCCCACTTCCGTGTCTTTACTCGAGCTGCACCATCATCCAATTTCCAATCAAGCGCGCGGCGCACAGCTAGTATTTTAACTGCCCTAGCCACGGATCACGATCACCAACGACCAAACCTACTACTCCTACGCTACCCCCCGCGCCAAACAGCAGCGAAAAAGTTGCACGCACGCACGCTTTCCGCTTTAGCTCATCTCACACACCGTCCCCCATTGGCTTGAAACTGAATCGGCTTGCACGCCCGTTCGCACGCACGCACGCGTGGGTTTTGGAATCTCGATCGGGTCAGAGAAGAACATGCAGAGGCATCATCGATCGATATTCGACAGCACGTAGTACGTTGTGTAGCCCGTAGAGGGCACCACTGATCATTCCATTTCCATCGTCCATACCACAACGCTAGCTTTACAGGAGCAGAGAGCAGGCATCCCACTTGTCTATCTTCCCCGGCCCGGCCGGCGCCGAGCGCCAGACGACCTCGAGAGGAGGAGGAGGAGGACGACGACGACAGAATGATGATTTGGTTACATGATGGAGCAGGCGTTGACGTCGTCGTCGTTGAACATGTTGCTGACGGGGTCGGAGCCGCGGTGGGGCTCGGGGAGGTGGCCGTGCTTGTCGCCGTTGTAGCCGTGGCGGTAGTAGTTGTAGCTGGGGCGGAACGACTCCTGGTCGTGGAAGTAGTCCTTGGCGGTGGTGAAGTGCAGCGGCTGGTCCGGGTTGGGCCAGAACTCGGCCTTCTTCCCGGCGCGCCGCACCTCCTTGAGCACCCGGTGCCGCTCCACGTACCCGGTCACCGTCACCTTCTCCATCTCCACCTCCACCTCCACGCTGTCCACCCCGCGCAGCTTCGTCAGCGCGTGCTTCACCACCCGCGCGCACCCCGAGCAGCACATCCGCACCTTCAGCTCCACCGTCTGCCATAGCCAATGGAGACAACAAGCTCGTCGAGTTAGAAAAAGCATACTCCACTCCACAGGCAGCACGCTTGAATGATTAGGGTTTATACTAGTACTGGAGTATTCGGTGGGCATGCATGCATATTTTTTTACTGGTCCCAAGTTTGCAACACAGACAGTGAAAAGTTTCTTTATGGTCGTTTCTTCCTTGCTTTTGAGGACGCATGCAACTTGATTACATATGCGACTGTGACTACACATGCAGAGTATGCGAATGAAATTTTTTGTGAAGATCCGTCTAATTTTTTGGTTAAGGTGATTAACTTCTACTTGCTCCATCCGAAAAAGTTTGTCTACTAAATGGATGTATCTAGCGTCAAGTTAGTGTTAGATACATTCATTTGGGAGACAAGTTTGACATAAGTTTTTTCGGACGGAGTGAGTACTACATGCTACAGCTACGAAGATGATAATAGTAGTGGCGGAGGGCCAGTGATGGTGTGGTTAGTGGGCAGGGAATAATCTGGACATGCATGGTCTAGTCGCCGTCGCATAACGGCATAAGAAACCAACTGGTTCCTGTACTTGCATATACTACTCATCTGAACAAACAAGAAAATCTCGCTTTTGTTCCTTGATGCAATGCCTATCCATCACAGAGCTGGGCAGGCACAAAGCCATCTACAACTTCTAAAGAAGAACAGAACATGCGTGCAGGTTGAAGAAACAGAGGATGTATACCTGCAGGGACAGCGGCCGGCTGCTCCGGCCCATCCTGCGGCCGCCGGCGAACCCGCCCTGGTTGTAGTACAGGGTGTCGGCGCTCGTGGGGTGGCTGCTGTGGTAGTAGGCCCCCGCGCGGTGGTGGTGGTACCGCCCGCCCGCCGGGTTGAAGCAGCCGTACAGGAACGACGACAGCGCCGACGACACAGACATGGCCGCCGACTCCGCCAACAACTTATAACAGCGAGAAGGAGAGTGCAGTGCACGTACGGCAAGCTTGGGAAAATGCTTTGCTTTGCGCTGCTGGAGCGTTTGCCTCTGTGAGTGTCCTTGCCTGGTGCATGCGATGGTTTATAGAGGAGGTGGAGGGAATGGTATCTGGGCTGGGGAGGTGGAGGAGATGGTGGGCTGCGGTAATAACCTTGCCTCCCTCCTCAATCCTCATTTTATTGCTTGAAATGTGGGGGGTATGTGGGGAAGGGGCTACTGGCCCATGCTCCTGTTCTGCCAGCTCAGCCGTGGATCAGCACTATACTAGTCTGCTACCACTTCACTTCTTGGAGAGGAGGAATCTTGGTATCGGAGAAAGAGAGAGGGATTACGATGAGTAATCTCAAGATGCAGGCAGGAGGAGGAGATGAGCTGGCGAATGATGCTTGTGTCGAGCCTTTTTTGCGTTTGCAACTGAGGCTGAGAGCTCAGCTGACATGCCTGCTTGAAGCCTTGAATGGCAGAAAGAGTTCTATAGTGGGAGTACTGGTAATATCATTACCAATGCGTCTGCAAAACAGAGCAGGTCAGTGATCCCATTTCAACTTGTTCCGCAGTGCAAACTGCTGGACAGCAAAACATTGGTCAGAATCAAGCATGGCCAGCGTCAGAAATTGTTCAGGCTACGGTTCTTGCTCAATTCTAGGCTGCTAGATAATTCCCACTCAAATGGCAATGTTCTTTTCCTATGACTTAGTGCATATTCGTTTCCTATGTAAGGGAATATGTAACTATAACTTAGTGCATGTTCTTTTCCTATGCTTAGCAGTTGATTCCCCACAAATAAGCGCTTGCTTAGCAGCTAACCCTCTGAAGAAGAACAGTGTTTTTTTTTCGAAAAGGGAAGAAGAACAGTGTTGCACAAGGCAGGAAAAGTGTTTTGATGGAGGAACACATGTCAGGTTTGGGGGAGAAAAGCATAGAAGAAAGGCTCTCGAGATATTCCCAAAAAATCTTCATCTCTTTCCCCTTTCTCTACACAGGCTAAGCTAAGCTCGCCCTCCAAAGCTCATGCCTCCCTCCCACCATGATATTATGCCTTGTGCTGATTCTGTCCAGGCTTTCATGCACACCACTGTTGCATGAACCTAGTCCTGTGGCTTTCATCAGAGGACTATGTTCTTGCTTTTTCATGTGTAATTTGGAACCTGGAACAGTGTTGATACTACAATAATGCTCTTTGTGATGGTATCTACCTATCTGTCTATTCTTTAATCCTCTTGTCTAATTAGTGGATTTGACAGGACATTGCTGGGCAGATTAGTCCAAAGTGGCCAGATTGGCTACCATAAGATGGATCACATTTCATATATACCTCGGTTTTGTAGACTAACGCTGAATCAGTTGCCTACTTACTTAGGGTTAGCTTGTAGTGAATTGCTGATGTGTGAATTTGATTCTCGGGAAATGCGCTACACGTAATCGGATTATCGGGATGAGTGTAACGACAAGTTTGACATGCGGCGCCGAGAATTAATGCGGGGGAAATGTGCTATGTGATCAAGCCACAGTCCACCACCTTTTGCCCCTCTTACATGGAGGAGATATATTTGAATCCTCATAAAATTATCAAGTGCTCAGTGGTCAAAATAGTAAGCGACAGTTGCCTGCCCTAACACTTAACTATGTGATTAAAATAGGGTCCTCTTTCGGCGAGGGCCTTGTCCTCATTATGCCCACTAATGAAGCAACTTAAATCTAAAGCTGTTTTCCAGATGTCCTTCCTGGTTTGATTTAATCTGGGGCCCTGTCCCATGACTCCATTTCATGTTTCTTCAGATAGATGTTTATTTGATCGATCGCAGCAGAGCCACACTTTTTGAAAGGAAAAAAAGATGTTGGTGAAAGATCTAGTTTTTGTCATCTTTAAGCACCAGCCATCAATTCATAATTCCTTGCAGCTCACAGTGATCATTGCGCATCACTCACTGAAAATTGAAATTTCCCCTTGAGGTATTGCCTTCAGGTCGATCAGTGGTAATGCGCTATCGGTTGTGTCGGATTGGTCCACTGGATGAACTCGAAATGATGAGACTTGGATTAGTTTTGATGTACGAATTGTCCTCTCATGAAGAAAAGTTGGTGAAAGGTCTTGACAACAAACTGCCATTGCAGCTGGTCCAGTAATCTTATGCCTGCAGGCACCTAGTTTAAGCCCAAGCTTTATGTAAAGGGAAGCTGGCGAACAAATTTTGGTTTGGTGCTAGTCATTTGAAAAGCTAAAGAATACTACTGCAATGATGGAACTTGAGTTACTACTACAGCATGCACTTGCCACTTGTGAGGGGTAATGGGGAAGATTATATGTTAAGGATGCTGTGGAAAAAGAGGACAGATTCTGAAAAACTTGCGGTAGAATCCAGAACGATATGGTTTGTTTTTTCCCGGAAGTGGATCGATGCGCCCTACCTAGGTGATCAAGAACAATTTTGCCATTTTTCGGCGCCGAAGACAGATTCGGAAAAAAATTGCGGTAGAATCCAGAACGATATGGTTTGTTTTTTGTCGGAAGTCGATCCGTGCGCCCTACCTAGGTGGTGAAGAACAATTTTGCCATTTTTCGGCACTGAAGATAGAGACGGAGAAACAAAGTTACTACTACTACTTTCTTGCAAAGGATTTTCCATGCCATTTTCCTAAAATATTCCTCTGCTTTATCGTTTTACAATGCATGAGAGATGTGTTTCTTCAGAAAAGAGTGAAAATACCTGCAGAACATACCGCCGATCTTCAGAGATGTGTTGCTTTTCTTTGGTGGTAAGTAATTTTTTAACAAGGCATCTCAAGGTAAGGACTAAGGAAGCAAGGTACAAAGCACAAACCATTGGCTTAGATTGAATGCAGTGCGTGCTGGAATCTGATCTGAAGACATATAGTCAGATTTAGAGGCAAAAGCGGCACTTTTTGGAGAAACACAAGTACATTTTGTGTGTCAGGGTTTTTAGGGTTTTCGATCTCCACGTTACATTTTCTTTGGCAGTAAGTAATTTTCTAGCAAGGCATCTCAAGGCAAGCAAGCGAGGAAGGTACAACAAACCATTGGCTTAGGTTGAATGCAGTGCGTGCTCGAATCTGATCTGAAGACATATAGTCAGATTTAGAGGCAAAAGCGGCGCCTTTGGGAGAAAACACAAGTACATTTGTGTGTCAGGGCAGAACACTGCAAGAACTGCATGCAAAGTAACAATGCGTTGTGAGAGAGAGAGAGAAAGCTGAGAATGACTGACTGCGAATAACGAAAAGGCAAGAAATGCTCTGCTCTGCTCATGTCGAGGGGCACATGCAGCCCGGGAAAAGCCTCTGATAAATACCAAACTGTCATATTTTCTTCCTCTTCCTCTTAGCTGTCGAGCCTATGCTCTCTCAAATGTTAACCCTCAAATGTTCTAACGCTGCACATTTGCTCCTGCTTAATTATCTTCAGGGAACCCCGGCAACTATTTCCCCAGAGATTATTCGCACTTGCGGCGCGAATCGATGGTACCGGATATAGTGGATTGAAAGATGCAATGGGCTCGGCCTAATCGAACATATAATGTGGCAACAGATCGATCAGGATGTGACCAAAAGCCGGGTAAACATCGGTATTTGCTGAACAGAACATTTCAGCTAGGTTTTAGGTGCTGCCTGGCTAGGGAATGGAATAGGAATACATTCCTTCGTTATCCACACATCACCAGAAGCTAGCTGGCTAGCTGCTACTCCACTCCCCACTCCCGCCGATCGATCCACCACGATACGCGCTGCCGGAGCTAGCGGCGACGTGCTCGCCGGACGGCGAGAGCGCGCGGATGGGTGACAGTAACAACAGCCGTCAGCCACGCGGGTGACGGAGCGATTCGGATAGCAGCGAATGAATTTACACGCACGCCACGGCGGCCGGCCGGCCGGCCGTGGGATTCCCGGCGCACTAGGAGCATAGTCGGGGGGCGGAGAATATGGGTGGGCTGACATGGACGTATGGAGCGGTGTGCCGATTGCCGGCTTTACGTACGGCATCTCGATTATGTGAGATATCCGGGTTCGATGCCTTGGCAACTAAGGAAGACGGCGATTGCTGCTCGCTCGCCGTCGAGGAACGATTTTGTTCAGGGGATGGCGGGGAGCGCGGCCACGACATGAGATGATGTTCCAGGAGGAGATGCCGTCACGTCGGGTGTCCCGGTTGCCGGTTGGATTGGCCGGGCGATCGATCTTGGATGGGTGGATGATATCTCCATAGACATGGAGCAAGTAGCCGGTGCAAGTTGGTTCTCGATCGGAGACAACCTTTTCATTATATATATACTTTTCTGACAATAAGTATGGCGTTGGAACAGAACTTTTGGTTAAGATCGGAAGGAATATTTTTCTTTTCCAAGAGTTTCAAGGAAATTTCACGGGGTGTATCCTAGGGAAGGGCTACGCATTTTTCTGGTAAAAATACCATCGTAGCGGAAAAATTTCGATGAAATAACACAAGACGTATCTAAGAGCATCTCTAGCTGATCCCCTAAAACCGGTCAGAGGAATAAAATCCCGGTTTACACCTCTAAACCGGGCCTGGTCGATCACCTGAAAACCTTAGAGGAGTAAAATATTTACTCCGAGCGGCAGCCGAGGAGTAAAAAATACTATGCCTCTTGGCTGAAGAGTAAACTCCCCCTCCCATGGGCCAAGCAAACCACTGCCCCCGCCGCCCAATCCACACACACGCCGCACCATGCCGCCCATCCACTCACCCAGCCGGCGACATGGCTGGATCTGGTGGCCGTCGCCACTCCCCTTTGTCCATCCGCAGTGCACGGTCGATGGATCTACGTTGCGGCGCCTCTGCCTCCTCCTCCCGCGCCAGTGGCTCACCCGTCATCCCCAACCTCTGCCACCGATGTTGCGGCCGGTGCCGAAATATCTCGGTGTGCGACAGCGCCCATGGAGGACTTGGGTGACGGAAATATATGACT